GATCCTTCACAAATCATTCTAATATGCTGATTTGCTGCTCAAGAAACATTTCTTCTTATTATCAATGTTGAAAATGGTTGTGCTGATTAATATTTTTTTTAAATATTAATCGGCATTTTAAGGTGTTAATCAGGTATTATATATATATATATATATATATATATTACATTATTACATATTATTGTTTATATATGTACAAATATTTTTGAACAGCATTTGAAATGGAAATCTTATCTATATAAATGCATTATAAATTAAAATTATTTTACTGTCACTTTTGATCAATTTTATGTGTCTTTGCTGAAAAAAAGTATGAATAATAACAATCTCACTGACCCTAAACTTTTGAACAGCAGTGTATATTATCAGCATAACAATTCAACAGATCTTAATATTTGTCTTGTATGTATTTTAAGCATTTCTTTTCAAGTTCAATTTTTTTTATATACTCATTTAATGTGATTTGGAGAACATCATCACTAAATAAATCTCCTTGGACTTCACATAATGATCTATTACATCAAGTGAGCATTCTTGAAAATTTAGCCTAAGCTACTTAGATACAACAAATCCACTTTGGCTTGTACCCTAAACCCAGGAAACCCCTGGCAGAGAGACAGCAACAATAAACTAGACTGCAGGGGATCTGAATGAAACTCTCCGAGCAAGAAATGATGTCGTCATTGACAAAAATAGGTCAGAGAATATGATGCAGGAGTCTATCTATAAATACTGAAATCATCCATTTGAGAGAGAGAGAGAAGAGACAAAGGAGAGGAAATGGGGAAGATGAAGGAGAGAGAGAGAGTAAAATGAAGAAAAACAGGAAGGGAGAAAGATGGAGAGCAAGCGAGCCCTGAATCACCTCATTAATACTACATAGGCACTTGTACGCCCACTCAGGGCTGCTGTGAGCCGGTGGCGCTCCAACAGGAGCAAAGGCACACAAACAATTTCTGTCAAGCTCTGTCAAGTTTCGGTTTGCTTCCTCTTTTCTCTAGACTCCACCATCTTTGCAAAAATTCAGTCACAGTGCTGTGCTCCTGTTCCCTCTACCTCTCGCCTGTCATGAGCCAAGATGCTTCTGAAATTCTGTCATGCCCTTACAAACCCATGTTTGTAAACTCAAACTCACTCAAAAACTATAATCTGTTAAAAAAATAAAAACAATATTTTATGTTATTACATAGCTTTTTATAACACTTGATTCTGATTGGTCAATCACATAACAACTGCTTTGAACCGTATATTTCACCATTGTCCATGGCAACATACCAGCTCTATTTTTGTCTCTTTTTATCCCTTTTTATATCCTCTGAGATCTCAATCACAAAGACAAGGTTTATTGTGTGATAATGACTTGCTTGCTGTACATTATAGATGAATAACTGCAGCATAATTCATCAATTTAATGTACTTTCATGTACTTCAATGTACTTTATCTTAATAAAGATTTACACAGAGTGGAAAGCTGCTGGCTGCTGTTATGCAAATCGCGGGAACTGGGGAAGAGTGTGTTTGTGATCACATACCGTTTCCCATGCCGCTGACCACCGCCCCGTCACTGACTCCAGATGTGTTGGCATTACTGAATGGTGCGTTGTGAGGGGCCAAACTGGGCAAAAACAAACATCTGGAGAGAGAAAACGGAAATAAAAAATGAATTTCAATTTATTAGAAATCCCAGCGGGCCAGACACTTCACACATTTTATTCTTGTCTCTCAGTAACAAACAGTCATAAAAAGTGGGAATATTTCACACTGGCGGCTTAAAGAGGAGATGTGGATGTTTATTTGTGGGTGTCATGCCTTATGCAACACTGACAGAGTGTGCTCACCATAACAGGACTGAATTACATTGTGTATAAGACAATTAAATGTCCACTGATGGAACTTATTCAAACACCAGATATTACTCAATGTCAGAGAAGCAAATAATGAGAATGGGTGAAACCCAATGCAAGAGTTCTGTCAATCCATACTTCATTAAACATTCTGCCATTCATCAAATAAACAGAAAACCATCCCAGTGTCACTCAAAACAGCTAAACGAGTCTCTATGGAGGCTAATTAACCCTGACAAAGGAAGCCTCATATGTCATTTTAATATTAAAAAAGCTGTGGCAATTAAAAAAAAATCCCACATCACACTAACAATACAAGCATCCACCCAAAAACAGTGAAACATCAACATCTCCCACCAGCCAAGGAAGTCTGTGAAGAAGGGTTCAATTTGGGGACAAATCTGCTCACAAAAGTGAGCTACATCTGACAAAACCTCCCTTTGGAGAACATTTGGAGAAGTCCTTTTTTGGAAAAATAATTCAGTACTTAAAAAAAAGTTAGGCAAAATAATCAAAATATATAACAAATATTTTTATAATATTCATTATTTAATTAATATAAATATATGAATATATTATTTGATTTTTTTTTTAATATAATTAGCATATATATAATTATATATTATTGTATATTAATAATTATTAAAAAAAAATCTAAAGATAAAAACAATAGAAGTCTATGTATATGTGTGTGGGGGTTAATGTCCACCTCCTCCCTGTGTGCTCCCTTATAACCCAAAAAGCTTTAAGCCCAGCTGTGGCAGCACCATTAGGCTGGTCTGCACGCCCCAATATGGAACGTGTTTACATGAATTTTTCATGAAGGCAGATGGGGAGTGCGCTGTGTGTGTGTGTGTTTTATCAGCATTTGCAAGATGAAATGTGGGCCAGTACAAGTGATTTTTACATCTTCAATTATTCTAAGCTGCATGTTCTATTCAGATGTAGGAGGAAGTATTCAAAGACAGAGGAGGATTCTGGCTAAGACATATAAAAGATACATCATTTGGATCATCTGTGTAGTTGATGCAGGTTTACTGGGAATTTGTGGCATTTACGTTTGTAGAACTGCTGCATAATTGTTCAAGCAATAGAAAGGCAACTGGGAGACTAACAAAATTTAATCTGTGCACAACTAATATTACTTGAAGCATTGTTATGTGTGCTGGGTGCAAAAACTGAACCGTTGACCCATTTCATAGACATAAATCTCCCATTTAAGCAGCTAATAATTTGGAAACAAGACAAATGATGATCACTGTGCTTTCATAATTAATGAAAAAGATGAAATATTAAAGATCTGTTATTTTCAGTTTAGCACGTACCCTGATGGGATTATGTTAAACAGAAACAGATGGAGACTCAGTGTGGATTCGTTGTTGCGTTTTGAACTGCAATACATTTGGAGATGTAAGCGCATTTCAAGTCTGTGTTTCTGTGAGCTTTAAACTGGGTCAGGCTTTTAAAAGCACAACACCAAATACATTTTTGATTGACGCATATATCTATATGAAGCCAATAAATCTCTGATGCCTAAACAGATGTCTGCTTACAAACAGTGAATGTGCAAACAAATCTTGATCTTTAAAAGGTATAGGCTAGACTAGCGCTGTCAGTCTTACCCGAATCCCTCTAATGACGTGTCAAACTCCACGAAGGCGGGCGTGACGGAGGATCCATGGAGACGGATGTCATGGGGCGTCGTCATGGAGACCAGGCACTTGACTCGGGTGAGGGGCACAGTGCTGCCCTCAGCCGATCGCACCAGACTTCGACTGATCCGGTACTGGCTGTTGTCCTCATTAATTGTGAACACGCTATCCGGCCCAAAACCCTCCATGGACAAAGTCATGCTGTCTGGATGTGGAAAAAGACGAATGTACAGTCAGGCTGGTCCCATAAACTCTACTGCTCTCTTAGTATTACACTATTAAGTCATGAAATAATTAACAGCTATTACTGTTAGCATAAGATAATTTTTACTTCACTTTAACTGCAATATTAGGCACTTTCCAGGAATATCTGATAAACTATTATCCAACAACAATACCATTTATGTATAAATGTGATTCATTTTGTCCATTTCATTTTTATTTATTTAACATTATAATGAGATCGTTCTATTTTATTATAGTTTATTTTATATATTTATTTAAATTCGCAAAAAACACACACACACACACACACACACACACACACACACGTGTGTGTGTGTGTGTGCTAAAGGTATAAATAGCATGTGGGTGTTGAATGTTGCAAATCTGACACTATAGAAGCAGAGGGAAATTTCCTGTCCAGTAAAATCCTTTCATTCTGTTTACATTAGAGTTCTCTTAAAGTCCCCCTGTAGTGAAAATCAAGTTTTTTATGTTGTTTATTTGTCTATGTGGTGTTTTTAATATGCTTTTAGACAAACCATGTGCCAATCTATTAATCAACACCATTGCTGTGTATTTTCTCCTTAAAAACTGTAGTTTCCCAAAGGCTGACCCAGAAATACGGTTTGAAACAGCCCTCGGTTTGCTACGTCACAAACCAATAACGTCAAGGGATCGATTCCTATCACTAGCATGCAAAATATACCAATACCAGCACAAAACCAAAAATAAATCAGAGCAAAAAACCCATGAAGCTGTGGTTTAATGTGAATTTAGAACCGCTAACTTGCATTATAACCCGTGGCAACAGTGTAAAAGTAGCCCGGAGTCAGACGCACCTCTCCCACAGCTGCGTCTGCACTTCACATGCGTATGCTCGCGGGCGCCAATTAACAATCACAAACGGCTGCATTTGAGTCTTCAAGGCATTTTAGGACACAACATCGTCAAGTAAGTAACTTTAACGAATGTTACAGTATTCACTGTAGTTGTCCGCTAGTAAAAAGATTTTATCAGTCATTATCCGTGTATGCCATTGTTTTGCG